GTCTGGGAGCACCTGGTTGACGTACATCGCATTCTCCATCGCCTCCGACGTGCTGGCTCTACAGTATCAGCCACTAAGCTTTTCATTGCAGTACCTGAGGTCGTCATACTAGGACACAAGTGCACATATGAAGGACGCGTTCCTGATGACTCAAAGATTGCCAAAATCCGTGACTGGCCACCCTGCAAGTCGCTTACTGACGTTCGAGCCTTCCTTGGCACAGCAGGCTATATGCGAATCTGGATTCGCAATTACTCGACGACCGCTAGGCCTTTAACTGATCTCACTCGCAAAAATCAGCCCTTCGTATGGGACGAACAACACACACGGGCAATGCACACTATCAAGGAGGCAATCATACATTCTACCGCCCTTATTTCCATCGACTACTCCTCAGATCGCAAGGTTTACCTGGCTGTTGATTCCTCTTGCCGTGGCGTGGGCTGGATTCTCTCGCAAGACTGCGATGATGGCAAACAGCATCCGGTTCGCTTTGGGTCTATATCATGGAATGACCGAGAAGCACGGTACTCTCAGGCTAAACTCGAGCTCTATGGACTCTTTCGTGCCCTACGCGCACTCCGACTCCACCTTGTTGGCATACGCAATCTGGTAGTTCAAATGGATGCTCAGTTTGTCAAAGGGATGCTCGCTAATCCAGACATTCAGCCAAACGCCGCAATTAACCGATGGATAGCGGCAATCATGCTTTTTGATTTCCAGCTAGTTCATGTCCCTGCAGAGAAGCACCACGGACCTGATGGACTATCTCGACGAGAACCGGCAGAAAGTGAAAGCGACGAAGATGATGACCCAGAGGATTGGATTGATACCACCCTATGCCTCGGAGTCTGGGCTACCACTTGGGCTAATCAACTCCGTTTTCATCTAGGCAACGCCCCTATGCTAGTGCTTCATGCTGAAGCGCGAGTTTTGCCCCCTCAAGAATTTCCTTTTACTGCACAATATCATGAAGCCGAGGACGACATGCTCCGTATCCAACAGTACCTTACTACACTCAAACCTCCCATGGGACTTTCGGGCAACAATCTTGACAAATTCATAAGGCGAGCGCGGCGTTTTTTTCTACTTGACGGACGTCTTTGGCGACACAACAACCTTGGACGACACCAACTATTCATCTCCCCTTCCCAACGACTCTCCCTCTTACGTGCAGCACACGATGACTTAGGGCACAAAGGAGTTTACTCAACTCGTCGCTTCCTTCTCGATCGATTCTGGTGGCCCTCCTTGAATGTGGATGTAAAATGGTTTGTTCAATCTTGTCACGAGTGTCAACTTCGTCAAGAAACCAAGGTCCGCATTCCTCCTACGGTCGCGCCCCCGGCACCCCTCTTTCATAAGGCTTATATCGACACAATGCACATGCCTTCTGCTGCTGGCTTTCACTATCTCGTCCAGGCCCGCTGCTCGCTCACAGCTTGGCCGGAATGGCGCGCGCTCAGAACTGAAACCGGACGAACCCTGGGCAACTTTATCTTCGAAGACATCTTGTGCAGGTGGGGCGCAGTGGAAGAGATCGTCACAGACAATGGCACTCCCTTCGTCGCGGCTTTAGACTGGTTAGCTGGAAAATATGGAATCAAACACATTCGGATCTCAGCTTACAACTCTCGAGCTAATGGAATTGTTGAAAGGCAGCACCGCACCATTCGCGAGTCTCTTGTCAAAACTTGTGCAGGCGACATCTCCAAATGGCCTGTAACGGCACCTCATGTTTTCTGGGCAGATAGGGCTACCATTCGCAGGTCTACCGGCTATTCCCCCTTTTACATGGCTCATGGAGTAGAACCCCTCCTCCCTCTCGATCTTACACTCGCAACGTTTCTCATTCCCGATCTCACCCGCCCTATGTCCACTTCCGACCTTATTGCTACGCGTGCACGTCAACTACAGTCTCGAGAGGAGGACCTTGCCAGCATCAAAAACAGCATAACCAAAAGCCGCGTCGCGTCCGCCAGAGCGTTCGAGCAACAGCATGCTCATACTATCAGGACCAACTCCTTCAACCCAGGAGATTTGGTCTTGGTTCGAAACTCGGCGGCCGCGAACGACTTGGGCAAGACCAAATCTCGGTATTTCGGACCTCTTGTGGTTGTCAAAAGATCTCGAAATGGTGCTTATCGACTTGCGGAACTGGATGGCGCCATCTCTCGACTACGCTATGCTGCCTTCCGCCTTGTTCCCTATCACTCTCGAACACGCGCACACATTCCACTTGAAGACTTTATCAGCCCAGAAGACCTCGCCACTTTTATTAACGACACTGCCACCGATGACGACGTAGCTTGACCGGGGACGGTCAAAATTTTAACCCCCCGGGAGGTGTAGGAATAGCGTGAGCTCTGAGCCCGAAACCATCCGCTTCGGTCCGCTCCGGCCCGCCTTACCTTCCGCCTCCAATCCTTTCTCTCGAATGTCACCACTTCGGGCTGGTCCAGTTTGCTCTCTTCATTTAAGTTCTGCTAATAAAATATTCTGACATTAATTCGACTATAGTTTTGGACTGTCTCTGATACGGTACAAATGCGATCGTTGCATAGCACGAAAGCTTTACTTAGCATTCTTTTAGACTGTTTACGCTCCGGGCCGCCTGCCTGTTCATTCGTTTCCTTCTGGTTTCATCCGGTTTCGTCTTTATTGCTATCTTTCATCTCGCCTCTCACCGCCTTAACTTCTTTCTTCTTTAATTCTACTTCATAACCGCTTTTCTATTAGGTCTCTCTACAGGTATTTAAAGGTACATACTTGCTTGTAGTAGGACCACCCAGCAGAAGCACAATCAACGGTCATTTTCTCTCCTTCTTTTTCTTGAGTGCTAAGCAGCTATCTCGACGACGACAAGCACAAAATTCGACAGAACCAGCAGCAGCGAAGCCAGCTAAGTCTTTGACATCTCGACATATCGGCATATTCAGCGCACTAGACATTTCGACGCATCAGCACCTTCGGCGAGTCCAGCATCCATCAGTTACCACCGACGACTAGACGCTTCCCTCTCCCTCTCTTTTCTCGCGGAACCTTTCTCCGCAACGAACTCATACGGTCTCGCGATCGTACAATCTTATGATTACAATAAGATACAGTGGGTCAAAAAACTGTCCCGATGTTTGCACCATTTCTAGTATTCACTCTATAGCACCTCAGCATTTAGGAATCTGGTTATGGTGTGGCTGTATGTCTGAAAGCCCTGCTTCCTGGCTACCATGCCCAATTTGGATCAAAGAAATTGGCCATGATATAAGCATTTTATGATCAAATCAAATCAATCAATCATCGGGACGGTTTTTTGACCCACATTTTAAATCCACTATCTGCCCAATTACTCCTTTTTTTCACCCCTTTTTGCCTTGGTAACTCCTTGGATCCTTTTAGTCATCCTTTCTATAACCTTTTGCCATCATTCTGGTGCATTTTTATTCCACTCCTCCACCACCCTCTCCCACAACTCAGGTATCCCCTTGACTGGTTAAGAACCTTCTTCAGATCCACCCAGAGGTGTCCAATGGGGCTAATATTTCAAGGGATTGGGCTATCCATACCAGGCTTCAATATTCCTGTCTTAAAACTGCTGGCTTGCCTTCTTGGAATTGTGTTTTGGGTCATTGTCCCACTGAAACATGCTTTCACCCTCCACCATTTCTTACTTTTCAAACCTTTCCACCACTCCACCATCCAAAATATCACAGTACTGGCATGGATTCATGATCCCCTAAACCCCTGTAAGCATTCCTAGTCCATTCCACCCCATACAAGACCAATACCATAAGTTCTTCCTCCTCCATGCTTGACTGTCAGGGTGGTGGTTCTGTCAGAGGGTGGTTCTCCCTTATTTTTCCCAAGTGTAGCTCCTTCTGTCTGAACCAATTCTGTTCATTATAGTCTCACCTGACCACAAGATCCTTTTCCAGTCATCCACTGTCCAAGTTTCATGGTAACCACCCTCTGACAGAACCACCACCCTGACAGTCAAGCATGGAGGAGGAAGAACTTATGGTATTGGTCTTGTATGGGGTGGAATGGACTAGGAATGCTTACAGGGGTTTAGGGGATCATGAATCCATGCCAGTACTGTGATATTTTGGATGGTGGAGTGGTGGAAAGGTTTGAAAAGTAAGAAATGGTGGAGGGTGAAAGCATGTTTCAGTGGGACAATGACCCAAAACACAATTCCAAGAAGGCAAGCCAGCAGTTTTAAGACAGGAATATTGAAGCCTGGTATGGATAGCCCAATCCCTTGAAATATTAGCCCCATTGGACACCTCTGGGTGGATCTGAAGAAGGTTCTTAACCAGTCAAGGGGATACCTGAGTTGTGGGAGAGGGTGGTGGAGGAGTGGAATAAAAATGCACCAGAATGATGGCAAAAGGTTATAGAAAGGATGACTAAAAGGATCCAAGGAGTTACCAAGGCAAAAAGGGGTGAAAAAAAGGAGTAATTGGGCAGATAGTGGATTTAAAATGTGGGTCAAAAAACCGTCCCGATGATTGATTGATTTGATTTGATCATAAAATGCTTATATCATGGCCAATTTCTTTGATCCAAATTGGGCATGGTAGCCAGGAAGCAGGGCTTTCAGACATACAGCCACACCATAACCAGATTCCTAAATGCTGAGGTGCTATAGAGTGAATACTAGAAATGGTGCAAACATCGGGACAGTTTTTTGACCCACTGTAATCTAAAGTGTGTCAGATAATTGATTCAGAGACATTGCACACACAACACATTCCTTTTGTCTTGTCACATTTTCACTTCAGTTTAGGGCATAGCACGAGTCCGGGTAACTCGCAAGTTTTTTGAGTAGAGCTGTGGGAAAACTCGCAGGTATTGATACTCACGGATCTGGGTGATCCATGGGAAAATACTCATACAGATCCGGGTATTGATTTTGGCACCCCGGGTACTCACGGAATACTCGTGGGAATATTATTATATAAAATTATTTTTTTAATAGGCTCCTCAAGCTAGAACAGAAATGGCTGAAACATGGATTGGAACCTAAGACCTCTGGGAACAAGCTCGGTCCAGTGCTCTAACCACTAAGCCACCCAGCCTCACTAGTAAAGACACACAATATATTATATATAGGGTTATGCAGAATTGATTTTATCACTTGTATCCAATTAATTGTGAACATGTTTTGATCTTATCACTTGTATTATCTTAGATGTATATCTTTAGTATCTAATTAATTGTGAACACATTTTTGATCTTATCACTAGTGATGTGCCTGGCCTGGCTCAAAGCCGGAAGCCGGGCCAAGCCGGGCCTGTTTGGGCTGGGCCAAGCCAGGCCGTTGTGACAGCCCAGCAAGGGCTTTGGCCCGGCTCAGAGAAACTAAAAGCCAAAGCCGCCGGCTCAGGCCGTGGCTTTCAACAGCACATACAAATGCATTAGCAATCGTCAAAATCAGTAGAAATCTTATCACAAAGTGGTTGATTTGGGTCACGTGATCATGTTTATCACGGCATTTCAAACTTTTTCTTCAATATAGCTTTGCAATACGTAACACACCAAGTCAGATTTGGATTAGCTGAACTATAACTACTAGTTATATGTCATAAAATTTTCTCTGCCAAAAGCTGCGGCTTGGGCCAAGCCGGGCCAGGGCCAAGCCATCTGTGGCGGCTTTGGCTTGGCCCAGACTTCAGGAAAGCTGGAGCCGCCTCAGGCCAAGCCAAAGCCGCGGCTTTTGGGCCAAGCCGGGCCGGAACATCACTACTTATCACTTAGATGTACATCCCAAGTATCTAATTAGTCCTTCCAGGAACGCTTAAAGTTGGTGTCTTTTGAGCCGTTTTCTGTACCTACAGTCACCTGTACATCAATGCGTATAAATAAGCGATCCTTACAAGTTAAAATAATTACCTGTCTTGTAGTCCATGTACTCTGGCGACTACGAGTGACGTACTGGGATGCTTGAGATGTTGTATCATCATCTTCGTGGCTCTCACTGACCATGCTGGAGATCACATGTGAGTTGAAAAAGTGTCTTAATTAGTGATACTTATGCGTTTATCGGATAATCCAGATGCCGTGTGGGCATGCATTCATGTAGCCGTGTAGGGTTGGGATTTGTGCGAAAAATGGGGCTATACGTGGGTGTGTGGGTGAAGGTTAAACCAGTGGCGGCCAAATAGCATGATGGATGATGTTGCCTCAGTTCTCATTTTCGAGCTAGGGAGCTTGAAGGCAGGTAGAACTCTGGTGACTGGGGTTCATGGTTGGTACCCATCATGGATCTTCAAACACGAAACAGCTCCTAACGTCACAAATGACCCGTGAGTGAGAATGGATCCATAGTGCATGTTGTCAAATCCCATATATCTTTCCTTTAAGCTGCCGTTCTCGACAGACGTGTTTATATGACACGAGTCCTGTTTCACTACTTGCCCTTGTCGTTATGATTCCAGGTCTCCTTCGGAAGCTGTACGGCTACATGTAACCCAAGGTATACGAAGAAAAGCAGCACCACATAAACAAAGTTCCCTCCCAGGATGTTGTTCTCTAATGAGAAGGCAAATAGTGACGCCGCAATGGCCGGTCCCACAGCGCGCTGGATCGAGACAACTGTTTGGGCGAGTCCGTTCGTGGCGCCGAGCGACCGCTTGTTCGGTGCCGCGGTAGAAATATACATGAACACCGAGCCTGATAGCATCCACGTTTCAGCATTACTCAAGCCAGGGATACCGAGAAACTTACTAAATCCCATGTCGGAGAAGGATATCAATAGAAGCTGCAGTATGATGAAAGGCCCTACCACAGCATTGACGCCGCGCACAACCAAGTTCTCCAATGGGAACAAGAGATAAATCACAGCGAACACGGCGGCGCTGATGATGATGACGCGGCGTGGACCCAAATGTCCAACAATGTGTGGGAAGAAGACGAATTGGAAGATGGCGCTCGTGAACCCGTACCCGGACATCCAGAGACCGATGGATGCCGGGCTCAAGTTGAGTCCGCCCAGTTCGATGGGTGTTGACCAGATGAGGGGAATGAGGGCAACTGCGGCGATGTCAAGCAATGCGAGAATTGCGTAATTGGCAATACAGATCACAACTGGTCTCGTAAGCAGGGAGCGCAGCGGTAGCGGCTGCTCAGTGTCCTCCGGCGATGGGTCTGGGGTATTTCCTGTTCCTTCCCCCACTCCGTCCGAATCAGCCTCAGTGGCCTGGAGCCCTGACTTTCGATCGACAGTCTTGGTGACAATCAATCGCGCACATCTTAAGAACACGTGAAGAGCCTACCTCTTCTAAAAATACTGCGGTAATGACAAACTGAAGGACGGCAAAGGCGGCTACCACTAGACATGGTAGGAAGTACGGGTACTCGGCCCAGAAAGGGTGTGAAAAGGCGTCTGGCCAGCGGTCTTGTGGCCGCGCAAAAATTCCACCTATGAAAGACCTGAGGGTGCCAATTATTAGCAAATCAAGAAACGAGGGGAAATGAAATGGACGGTCAAACCCTAAGATCTGCCCGATCGCCCCAGCCAAAGGCATCATCGAAAATCCTCGAGCCACGTTCGTTTTATCAGTGAGCTCTGCCAACATGCTCTTCGTAACCCCAATGTTCCCATTTAGTGCCCCATTCAAGAAGCGGCTGTGACCACCGAGTTCAGCGAATGGAATGGGGAACTCTCGGGAATCTGCGGGGGCACGTACCAAACTACAAGTGCCCAGAAAGAGCGCGAGAGTCCAAAAAGTGTTATGGAGACGATGGTACCAAGAAGTCCAGATAGAAGGATGGGCTTGCGCCCGACGCGGTCTGAAAGACGATTCCACTGGAGTACAGTGACCGCCTCTGCCGCGAAATACAAGGAAAGCTGCGATGCTGCTCAGTATGCTTCACTAGTTGGACACATAAGGGACCCACTATGATCCCGGTGTAATACCCCACCCTCCTACTGTCACCGCTAACGATCGGAAGTTCGCTGATGAGCTGGAGACGACGTTATCAACATTATATACAAGTCTAACAATTGTCATCACCTGGTTGATGTAAGGGCTGATGGAGTTAAGCGCAGTTGTCTCAGCGATCCGCTCCAACAGGACGATCAAAACTTGAAGCGTGGGCAGCGGAGTTGGCCTCTGCGGTACGTCGTCATGCGGTAGAATTGGGGTTTCTTCATCTACTGGGTCTTCTGATCTTGTAAGAGACATCTGTACGGTGCTGATAGATAGAAAGATATGTGTTTCTAATAGCTACGTCCACAAACACTTCCTAATATTGATAACTCCGATACCGGAGATGCCGGCCCGGACTCACTATCACATTTACAGCGTATTCTAATAAGGTAGACTACCGCATTGTTTAGAACCACAAAGACTGAGCTATTCGCTTTATATTATAGTCTCCCACACCTTTATCTTTAGAGCTTCGACATTCTGCGAGTGATGGAGTAGGCGAGAGCGAACCACTGGTCTTCCTGTATTATATAAGCGTTGGAAACTTAAGGCCTTGACCCCCGTGACGCTCGCATCTATCTAGACCATCAGATAGATAAGTCAAAAGCGCCCATAGCTTATAAGCTAGTGCTTCAAAGCTATGCAAATGCAAATATCACCGCCACTGCCATGAGGCTCAATTTAATGCGAGCCCCACCCTGAATTTCTTGAATCCTCTCCAACCCTAGAGAACCTATGGCTTTCTTCTTGCTTTTCCCTCCAGAGAGTACGGGCCAATCGTTGGGTACGTCCCAATTTTATTGACCTGTTGTTCCTGCACCCCATCTTTTCACAGATTCTATTCCCGAAATTGATAAATGCGTCACTCTGCTTGAACATAATCTATCATCGTTCCCTCGATCTTATCCTCTGCGCCCCCACTGGCTCGCAGATCTAGCTACTGCGCGATACACGCGCTACAATTTGTCGGATCAGAAGGAAGACTTGGACAGGCATATCCTTCACCTTACAGAGTTGATCCTTCTTCCATATCCTTCCCGGTTTGGACTTCATGTCAACATCGTCGATGTCTTCCACCGCCTCGCGGATGCTCTTTTTTCTCGCTATCACCGTTATCACCAGAAATCGAACCGAACCGAAGATATCGAGTCTTCAATCAAATACCATCGTTTTTCCCGGGAGTTGCCACTGGAGGCCTTTGGCATTCCGATAAACGACGTTACAGAAACACTTGTCCTGGCCCTGGGCTCCTACGCGCGGTCAGGCAATGGTAACGCTCTCCAGAGTATTGAGGAGATGCTAGCACTCTGCCGCGAACTCCTCGCCTCGCGTAATTCGGAATACTACCCTACCATCCTCTCGTTGTTTTGAGCATATCAGTTGCTACCGAATACTCTCGAAGCCAAAATGTGGATCCATTAGACCGGGTCATCGAATTCTTGCGAGAGGCGGTGATGGCGTGTCCTCCGGGATTGCCACAGATTCCCCTGTCTCTGGTTCGCGTTCTCAACGTTCGCATCGCTCTGGCGGCCAACTGTGGTGCCGATCTCGAAGAAGCTCTAACCCTCCTTACCAGAGTCGTCTCCTCAGACACTCTGGACGATAGCTACATGCTGAGTCTTGTGCGGTCTCAAGCGTTCACCTTGGCCGCAGGAATCACGTCCCTCCGTACCGGCGAGTATCCGAGCGCCGAAAATCTGGAAAGGGCGATCGCCCTTTGTCGTTCATGCCTCGATGGAACATCTAGAGACAGCAGTGAAATCGGAGATAGGGGCCGTTCTATGATTGTTATGCTACTGGAAGCGTGCTTGAAGATACGCTTCCAATATTTCGGCTTAACAGACTCTCTTCAACAAGCAGAATCATGTGCTTCGGAGATGGATAGTCTTCTATTATCCCAGGATCCGTTCATTACGAACATTTATGAATCGGCAAGCGGAAAGCGGGTTTATTCTATAGAGGAGATAGAGCTTAAAATCCAATATCTTCAAGGACTTCTCTCCGGGGCGCAGGAGACATCCAGGAGTTGGCATTGTGCTACGGGTCTCGGGAATTGGTGTAAAAAGAAATTTCTTATCACCGGAGATATGACCGACCTTGAAGAGTCTATCAACTATTACCGAATGGCACTTTCATCATTTCCCGTG